ACAGTATTGCCACCTGAAAATAAGTAGAAATTTTTTATGACCGCCCTAAGTTTGTTGCGGATGTGCAATTTTCTTAATATCGTGTCGGACATCAACTTTCCAAGTTTGATTCCCGAGACATTTTCCTTTAAGTATCGAAACTGCAAAATTTGCTAGAAAGTTTTCTTTTCACTGACTCTGTAACGATTTCCTTTAAAAGTTTCGAAGCTTAAAAAAGCTTGACACTCTCAATACAAAGTGCTGAAATCGCCGATAAACTTCCGAAGTTTATTATCTTAATGAAACTTTTATATTACATTCACTGAAGTAATATACCTAACGTACTAATTAATGATGGTGGAAACTACGGTTTTATATTAGAACGGGTCTATCTTGATTTAACACAGTAAATAGTAATGAAGAGTATATGAATTTAATATCGAATTAGATTGTGCATTAATTTAGTTTAGAAGTTGTTTAAATAATAAAACACCCAATAAATTATAACATAACTGAAGGCGCCCTTTATGGCCTTAGGCAGGCTATGCAGGGAGGGAGATCGTAATCTCCTTAAAAACGTGGGTGGACTGTAAGGCGCAGTCAAGAAAAATAAATAATTAAATTAGCGGGTTTTCGCGATGTAAGAGCTGGTGACAAGTACGAAATAAATGGAAATATAAGGGGAGAGGCACTGCACTTACTTGTGGTCAATATGGCGCAATGGCGGCTCTCGAGCGTAGGCGGCGACTCCTTCCTCAGTATCACGGCGCTGTAGGTGGACTCCAACAGACGTGACAGGCCTGGTTACCTGGCCTGTCTCCTCCAAAATACTTATACGCTGTTATGGGCGTAATAAAACGCCTTGGTAGCTTCAGTGAAAACGTACTGACAAAAAACGTCGGCATGGCGGTTAAGTTTTATACACTCAAAATAGCACAGAACATCAGCACCTCTTCATTAACACTTCTCACCAGTACAATATGCGGAATTCAAGCGGAATTATATAGTTTTATGACATGGCGAAACGCAGAAGAAAGATTACAATGCGGACGCGGCGGGCGATTTTCTTCAACTAGCGCCTTCTACCGAAGACGCCATAGATGTCGCGGAAATATGTTCTGTCTCGCTCTTTCTCTCTTATTTTGTGTAGTGCCAAAGAGGGAGGAAGAGAGGAAAAGTACTAATGTCAACCAGCGAGAAATACAAAATGGAGATACTTATTGTAAAAGCGGCGCGAATAATCAAATTAATTATTAATATTTAAATAAATGTATGTTGGCGTTACCAATAACAATTAGTTATAAAAGTTTCAACAGTACAATTAACGGACTCGTTGCTAGAGAGAAACATCTTCTAGTCATCCGAATTATCTTCAAAAAAACTGGTTGAACCGAGTTAACGTAATAATATCTAGGCTACAATGTAATATCTGATTTTTTGTCATCTATACATAGTATAAAACAAAGACGCTGTACGCTGAGATCTTTCGAATTACACTATGGATTTTTTTAAATGCAGTTTTAATTAATATGGTGTGTGATTGGAGAGTAAGATTTGAATGCTGAATTCTGATCTTTATATTTTAAAACATTCTTATTATATATCGATACAAATAACATTCGATGGACACTTACACCCGCGTTGGCGTCGATCTGACAGATCAATTGGATATGTATGGACATATTCGTTGTTTGCGATACCGTTTGCAATAAACTGAATCATAGCTGGCCACGAGTTATACAGGTAACAGAGAAATCAAAGCTATTGAGTTTTATATATAAGCGAAGATAAAGTTAAGGTAAATATATGTTGTAGCTATCTGGTTAAAGCAGTCGTTCAATTGGACGGCTAGCTCTTTAATTGTATGGTACTATATACAATTAAAAAGCTACTGTATGTAATAACAATTGTAATTGTAAGGTACCACATTTTTTTGGGTGTTTTATTATTTAAACAACTTTTTAACTAAATTTATGTACAATCTAATTCAACATTAAGTTCAGATACTCTTATTTATTATTTACTGTGTTAAATAAAGATAGACCCGTTCTAATATAAAACCGTAGTTTCCACCATCATTAATTAGTACGTTAGGTATATTACTTCAGTGAATGTAATATTAAAGTTCCATTAAGATAATAAACTTCGGAAGTTTGTCGGCGATTTCAGCGCTTTGTATTGAGAGTGTCAAGCTTTTTTAAGCTTCGAAACTTTTAAAGGAAATCTTTACGGAGTCAGTGAAATGAAAACTTTCTACCAAATTTTGCAGTTTCGATACTTAAAGGAAAATGTCTCGGGAATCAAACTTGGAAAGTTGATGTCTGACACGATATTAAGAAAATTGCACATCCGCAACAAACTTAGGGCGTTCATAAATATTTTCTACTTATTTTCAGCTGGTAATACTGTATTTGGGTAAAATTTAATATCAATCATCTAGAAGCGCTTTCTGCGTAGTGGTTGGCGCGGTCGGTCTGCGATGAGGTAGTTAAGCAATTTTCGTAATGGTCAGTCATAAGATGGGTGGCCAAAAAATTATTATCTGGAGGTCCCGGCTGCAGCTGAAGTTGCTAACATCCAGAAATCTGCACTAGGCCCGCTTGGTGGGCCATGGCCCATTTTCCCTATTCGATTTATTTCGATTGCTATCTTGATGTAAGACTTGTGCCTCAATAGTAACTGATAGGCTTATTTCAGTATGGAGATCAAACATTAAAAGATAACAGCTGGTTTTTTTGTTATTGTGAGAATATCATATATTTCCTTTTTAATATATGATTTAATCCAACGACATTTTCTTTCGGATTATTAGTAAAAAAAAATCCTTTAATTTCTCAATGGCATGATACATCACGCTGTTAGTTATGTTACTTCCATGAAATACACAAATTTTTCTAATAATATATTTGGAAACTCATATTTTTATTAAAAAACGGACAAAAAATATTTAAAAAATAATAAAAAATATTTGTAAAAAATCAATAATATTATTGCGTTATGTATATTTTGTTTTGATCCAATGAAAATTTCCATGGGAATATTGAATACCAATAGCCTTATAATTATTTATGAAGCAAAAATATAACACGCAATATATGTAGCAGACTTTTGAGTTAAACACTACTAAAAATCATTAAAATCCACTCAGAAATCCTTTAAATAAAGTTTTATCATATTAAACTACTAAAAAAAAGTAAAAAATTAAGTTTTAGAAAAATCACTATTTTCTGTAAATTTTTTAGTTGGATTTCAGTAATTTTCATTGTCGCTATGATAAATAAAACCAAAATTTGTGAAAAAAATCCTGTTAGTAATTTTGCGGGAAGGAAATGAAGGTTTTTTGACTTGATGTTTTTTTTATATACCTTCCGTAGCTAAAATGAGATGGATTCTTAAATATAGTCTCTTGTAATTGGCTTACAAACTTGATTAAAAATATTCCAGGCTTATATCGAATTATTTACGTTTTCCTCGCATTTGTATCAGGCTATTATCATTCATTTAAAGAACTATGACCGTTTAATTCTATCAGACTACGTTTATGTCATTTCAAGGTTTATCGTATTCAACCCTAGCATGTGACATTGCTCGCTCGTTTATTCATGTAGTTGGCATCCAAATTTGATTTTCATCATGCCGCCTCTGTATTTCACATGGAACGATCAAATTTCCGTTCATAACTTAAACGCCTACGCAATACGCACGACGGACGTGGATTCACGTAGAGCACGGTCTACTATAAATACTTGCGAGGGTTCGATTACTAAGCCCAAGGTTGTTTATTTGTTCGGCTAGTTTCGGCGCTTTCCGAAGCTATCCTAAACATTGACTTAACAATATTTTGCTAAGCGAGCTAATTAATCGACGAGAATTTAGTACTTAAGGCATATTTTCATTAGTCGAAGTCATGGGCAGTGCGACAGAGGTTTCTGTAGCCAAATTTTGTATTTAATCTACAATTATACTTAACTAGCTTTTGCCCGCGACTTCGGCCGCATGGTGTAGTTACTTTGGGCAGCATATATTTTCCAAAAATACTGTTGTTTCTTGAGCTGATGGTGAAATTACTTTGATGTTAAAGTTTGAAGATACTACAAAAAAAAACAATAAATATCCAATATGTTTCAGCACTTTATTTTTGAAAACTTTAGAGATGTTGATCCAATCCAATCCAATTTGAAATACAGATGAAAAAACAGTTCTGAAGTTTATACAAAACTTAATCGAAAACGTAATCTACGCAAAATTATTTGATAGAAACGTTAGCGCAGATTACTTCAGCATAAATGTCATCTAGTATAGCAGAGCTTAAATTTCTTACTACATTTTGTTTTAAAACTCACTACTCTACTTAAAGATGAAAATGAGAAATTCTACAGTTTTGTATAGCCTGATATGCTGTTAAATGTACGGAAAAATACTATCTATGTCGGCAGCACTTCACACATTCTAGAAATTCATGAAGAGAAAAATTTTCTCTGGAGTTATACAATGAAACGTTAATGTGATTTTTAAATATATAATAAATCCACATTAAGATTCTTATAAAAAATATTTCTTTTTCTGAGTAACTTAATAAATCGGCTGTCCCAGGTCAAAACCTAGTAACTGTTTTGGACTAAATGTTACAGGAGAGCAAAAAAACACTTTTTAGGGTAGCCCTTTTAAACTATTTCACACCTGTCGAGAAATTATTGTTTACAAGAAGGAGTGGTTTGAATCTCTTAATTTGATATATTAATTATTTGTGTAAGATTCATACTACAAATTTTATGAGCTAAAATAGTTTTAACAAAAAAACGTCCAAGTAAAAATTGTTTCCCAAAACCATTTCAAACCTAGTAAGTTCTGTTACTAGATTTTGATCTGGTTTAACATATTAGCTGAAAATCAGGTTATCCAGACCAAAAGCTAGTGAGAGCTATCATGTAACTTTCAGTTGATTTGTTTACAACTAATAAAAGTAGTAAATAAAATATAAGTACAAAAAGGCAATATATATCAAAATCAGATTTATTGATTTAATCAATTGTTTCCATTTGACCAAAAAAAGACAAATCCAATGATTGGTTATTTACAGGCAAATTATACCAAAAAGCTTTTCTCGACGCTGGCATTAACGGTACTAATTTGGAGATGATATCGTCCTTCTTTGCTTGGTTAACTCCCCAAGGTTCTTCGACAGGGGGGGCAAAATAATTGACATTTAATTTTTTTTGTAAAAATTCTATTTCTTGAAAATTTTCGTCAAACCTGGAATAATAAAATGAACTAAGTATTTAAATCGAATTAAAAAAACTAAATTTTAATTTAATACACACAATACTACATATAAATTTATTTACTGAAACGTCTTGTACCTGGTTTTATAAAATAGGTTTCTTGAACCCTTTACGAATTTGACCTGGACCACAAACTTTAACTTAAACTCTCTGAGAGTTTCACCAAAACGACCAGCTCTCTTTTTCTTAGGCCAGTTACGACGATTTTGAATTTCTAATATTTTAATATTTTTTCTCGATCTCAACTCGCAATCCTTAAAATCTCCAAAATCGTAAATACCACGTTGACGTCTCATTTTTTGCTCAATATTAGCATGAACTGCATCAGCGGCCATATGAGTGTGTCCTTTAGTTAAATAATTAATTGTTATTGACTCGATTTCATTTGCTTCGTTATTAACTATCATGACCATAGCAGTGAAAAGAGTCCAATTTTTATTTTGGGCAGTACAATTATCGGCCCAAAGGTGATAATGCTGTACATCCCTTTGGTCATATAAAAAGGCTTTGAGTGCGTCTACAATATTGCTGGCGTCTCGTCCAGCAATCGCTTCGTGCCACAACACGCATACAGACATGTCATCCGATTTTTTTTTAATGGGGGCAAAAGTAAGCTTAAAAGCTACTAAACGACTTAAAAAGAAAGCATCCTTGTATTGAGGCATATCTGGAAGTAGGACAACTTTTTGTAAGTCCATACAAAAATATTTAGTCCTATTTTCATTTCTTTTGGCTCCATCTAGTCTGTATCGTTCTATTGCTAACTTAACTTTTTCTTGATGTTCTTTTTGTTTAGTCAAAATATCTTCTGGCACTTCAGTACTTTTATCTGTATGTTTCTTAATTTCTTCTTCATAAAATGAACATTCCGCACACTTATCGCCTTTTGGCATATTAAATGAAATATTAAGTCTTTTAATTGTTTGTCGATGAACTTCTACACTACAGCGAAAATCTGGATTTTTTAATTTAAAGTCGGCATGCATTTGCTTCAGTGTCAAATTCCGCGGTAAATATCTTACATTTGGGGCATTTTGCCTTCGATAATGACTGACGACTGGTTTATAATTTAAGATATGTTGTTCAATTATAGTCTTCGGTATTTCGTTTCTGTTACCTCCTCTGCCGTCTTTTAATACTCCACCATAGATGTTACCTTTTTTTATAGCATTACTTATTTCCGTAATGACGCCGTCTGTTTTATAACCTAAAGTGTCGAGAAAAAATTTTCGGCAAACAGGAATAGATTCATTATTATTATTAGGAAAATAAAAGAATCTAGATTCCTTTTTGATTATTTCTGGAGTGCCAGTTTCACTCACTCTGCGTTTTTTTATGCCAGTTATTTGAATACACTTGTTTAAAAAGTTACGTCGTGAACGAAAATCAAGTTCCCAATAATTATGCCAAATTTGAATCCTATTTCCAAGTGAAAATGACGCACACTTACGACTGCATTTACTTTTACAACTGTTAATTATCATTATGTGTCGACTTTTTCGTTTGAGAGAACATTTGGATTTTTTAATATAATTTTCCTGTGCATCTTGTTTGTTAGCAAAAATTGGACCAGGGTAATCTGCCACAAATATACTATTATTTTCTTCTTGAATTGATTTTTCATCTGTATTAATTGGTCTGGGGTTGTTGTCATCAGGAAGAACTTCAGTTTTATGTTGCCGTTTCGGCTGAGGCTTCAGGTATTTTCTAAGCCAATTTGTCGATAAAGTTACATTATCATCAGAACTGGAGCTATCGTATAATTCTGATGGTATATCGGCAACAGAATCACCTAAATCACTTAAAGTAAAAAGATCTACATCATCTATCTTTTCTTTGTAGTTATTAAATGAAGTTTCATTATGAACATAATCTGAGACTGCATTAGACGTAGATGGCTGTGGTTCGGTAGGAAAATCCTTAGCATTAGCTATATCCGAAACATCAATCGCGGAAGCAATGAATGTAGTGTCATTTAACATAATTTCTGATTCGGATAGCAAAAAAGGCAACGTAGTATTATTGATAGAGGCAGCAATTACACTGTAAGTTAATAAAAAAAACACATGCAAAACCTTCACCAAAAAAATATCACGAATAGGTAGATTTAGTGGTGACTGTGAATGAGCCATTCTTTTTTATTTACTTTAACCGTTATGATAGCGGTAGTCTTACCCGAAAATACTATAAAATATAAACCACGCTCAGTTACTTTGCCATGTTAATTCCACATTTATACTAAGAATATTTTATATTTCAGAGGATAAGAAAATGAGAAATTTATATAAATTTAAAAAAGAAAACAAATGTGTTTATTTGCGATTATAAAAAAAATGGCTCAGTTTCAATATTTATTATTAACAAAATGTAAAATTTCTCTCAACTTCGGAAGTACTTGTTAGTATACAACAAACTTATTGTAATTGATAGTTTGCAAATAATAATAAACAAAATAAAACATACAAAATCTGCGAGGAATAACATACAAGCGTAATTAATTATGTTTGATTAATAGCACAATATTAAACATCAACATTCCCAAATAAATGATAGAGTGAAAATATAGGTTAAAATACCTACTTACATGTATTTGAATAATTTGGTTCATAGCTTATATTTATAGAATCCATTATTCGTCTTGTTCGATAGTTACTATAATAACGTCTCCAGATTACGTCATATATAAAATACAAAAACCTAAATTTCAAGCTCGTAGCAGCAGACACGCACAGCCAATCTCTATAAAGCCTCAAAGGCGTCTGCCCCGCTTCGCCGATCTCGCACTCTCATGTCATGAGCAAGAAGGGCGCGGGGGGCAACTAATAATACCCAGCATGCCAGTAAAATAAGAATTTACCTACTACTACTAAGTAACTATAAATTTAGTAAACAAGACTAACTTAGTAACTCGATATTTTAATGTCTTACGAAATCCACAAAATGTTGTTTCTATACATTTATTCACTTCATAACCCAGTAACTATATTTGACCATTTCAGAAACCTAGTATGTGCTAACACATACTAGAGTTTTGAAATGGTCAAAGATACATACTAGGTGTTGAAATGGTTGAAACTTAACTTTTCATAAATTTAGAAGCACTTACTAGGTTTAAGGTACCCTATAACTTTTGATAGAAGTGAATTTTGATATAGGGTATTTTGGCATCTTGTGGGGACTTATTGGAAAACCACTTTTAACAAAAAAACACAATTTCCAATTTTTGTAGACTTACTAGGTTTTGAAATGGGACAGCCGAAATTAAGATAAGCGCCGCGGCCCGCGGTCGTTGTAGTTAAGCAACTTTCGCAAGCTCACCTATTATATTTCTAACCTATCACGTGACCTAAAGTAGTGAATTATATATTTATCATAACCTGCAACATATCCATAAAACTATAGAGATAGCCTTTGCTGCTGCACCTTCGCATTACACTCCTACATTTATCTTACTGAGCTTAATCTAGTAATTGTTTTCCGTTGCTTAGTCACCCTACTCTCTTTAATTTGTTGTACAACCTTAAAATTAAATAAATAATTTATCACAAAAACAATGCGACATCAGCGCCTGTTACTGAGACTTACGTAACTATTTTACGATATTATAACTTACTCTTGGCCACAACATGAAGAAATCTTGCCTATATCATTAAACGCAAATCATTAATTGATCTGGTCAGGCCACATCATAATGTGGGCAGCAAGATTTTTCTCATTTCATGAAATGGCTAGCTGCATAATGAATTGTTCAATTCTATGACTTGGCGACGATATTATACTCGGAAACCTTACATGATATGAATGAACAAATGTAATAAAATAGGAGTTGTAAAAATTATCAACTTGAAAATATTAGGTTAAGACCTATCAATACTCAATAAATTAATTACTGATGAAACGAAAAACACAAAGAATTGCAATTTTTTAAATCTAAACTTGAAGCAACATTTTAATGTTTTTGATTTAAAGCCTGTACAAAGTTCTTTGATCAAAATAATACCACGATTTAAAATATATTTGCCATCAGCTGGCTGAAAATTTATTCTAGGTATATTTTCTAGGCAAAAATATCTGCGTTTTAGAATATATTTAACGCCATCTAGTGTAGGTTATATATATAGAAAATATAAAAAATATCTTTTATTTCGTAAACAAAATTACTTGAACTTGAACATTTTTATCCATTAAAATTTCAAAAATGTAATATTTACTCAAAAACCAGTTTTAATCGCTATACACATAATATATTTTGTACATAATATTAGGTAATTTTATTACAATGACAAAACAGTTTGTAAATAATGGTTGCCATGGTTACACTTTGATCCCCATAAAATCTTTTACTCCCATTTTTATTTCTTTAAGTGCTAGTGCGAGTTTCATATAAAATTTTTCACTCTTTTTGACTCCCTTCGGGATGGAATTTCCGAAAATCCGTTCTTAGTACACCTCTACGTATTAAGGGGAATGTTCCCTCCAAATTTCAAGTTTTACGACCAGCGGTTTAGGCTGTGCGGTGTCTGTCAGCCAGTAAGTCAAGACATCTCCTTTTATATATGTATAGATTACGAGTATACAAGAGCGGCTCTTTATTTATCTTCATCTGATAATGAACAAAACTATTAAAAGACATGTCTCCCGCATTCAGAATGCTAAAGATCTTTGTACGCTTGCAGTAGGACCATTAGCTATTTCAGATTTAAAAGGAAAACAGAATTCGAGCACTTTATTTTATCGTTCATATAAAAAAGCGAATGACGATAAATTACTCGGTCTAGATGTAAAACAATACAATAACCTATTAGATGATAAAATAAATAAGACTTTGGTCCCTAGACGATCATATACATACGTGCTGTCATGCATGCGTCACTGTACGAGTATAATTGTATGCAAATATACTTGCATGTCATTTGCATCAGTCATCAATGGCACGGTCACGCATGCATGACAGCACGTAATACATACCACATGATCAAGTAAGAATCGCTTTACAAGATATAATACAATATAAAGAACTGATATACGAGTATGTTGATAGAATCAACAAAAAACCCAAATAAATAAAGTGATTTTATGGTACTATTTTGAGACAAAAGCTAATTCAATGTTGCTGTTCCATCGTTATTAAGACCATAACCTGAAGAGATAAAAAGGAAAAGTTGTGAGATATTTCAACAGTAATTTTCTTTAGGAAAAATCTTGGGCCAAGTATGTTTTTTTTTTTCGAATAATAGATGTTTACAAGTTATCATCCCCTCGATGCTTTGGCCGTCTGGAGATGGGAATTAATGGCGGGATAAAGTGATCAATTTATCACTCTGACCGTGACATAATTTATAAAGGAGATAGGTGCATTATATTTTCGGGAAACTTCGTCCAGAGTTCGATATTTCACTTCGTTGCAAATTCGCGAGGGAAGCGCTAAACTTCTGACAGGAATATATTGAAAATATCGGATATTGTTAAAATTCGGTGACCAAAACAGTGCCGTTGTATTCTATAAATATTTTGCAAGAAATATATAAACATATAGCACCTCATACCCTAAACAGAAATAGAAAAGCTTATAATGAAAGAAAAACAAATGATCACTTACCCATACGAATTTACTTTGCCGATAAGGTTGTCGATTTGTATTTAATTTCATTGTTTATTCTCGAGTTCTACTATTTATTAGAAATGTTAATTATTATATTTGATAAATTTTGCATCCAGAATGCTGAAAAAAATCTTAATGACAAATGCTTTAAAAGCTGTTTATTCTATTCTACGTTAAAATGTCAATGAAAAATATTTCTGTTTATGTTTATTATTAAACTCGAATCGATCGATGAACATTTTACTTTTACTATACATTGTTATTGTAATATTCAACAAAAACTTAATTATTCTTTGGCGGAATGGACCGTATTTAGGGATGAAACGATACGAGTAAATACAAGTACTTACTCGATACCTTTCTTTCGATACCAAGTATTTTGGTACCGATACTTTAGACGCGAGTAACGAGTAGTATCGTGGAGTAAGTATTTGTATCGTTACTTGGTCGGTCACTCACTGAGAATTGTCAAAAAACTCATGTGCACGACTGTTTACTCTGTGGTAAGTCTAAAGTATGTCTCATGAAAAATTACCACTGATGCGGCGTCCCTGTCGTATAATAATAAGCATTGCCAACACCTACTAATTTTATGTAGTCAAAGCTCTATCTGGAGAAATCCTTACTAACAAAAATTTAAATTATACCTAACTATATGCATTGCTTTTCATGCCTGAACCTGCTTCTCTTTCTTCCGTAAACAGATATTGCTATTTACTGTCAATAGTATCAAATTTGCTCTAAAAATCTACAAAAATGACGACTATGGCGAGGTATTTTAAAAGTATTTGGTACGAGTTAGGATCGATACTTTTCATTCGATACCGAGTAGGAATCCATATTTCCGATACGGTATTGAGTAAAGCTAACGACACCAATGTTGTATCGTTACATCCCTAACCATGATAGAGGAAGGAACCCTCAAAGACGTTAACACCTACCAATCCGTACTCGGCCCGCGTGGTGGATCCTGGCCATAAATAATAATCAATTTACCAATACAAATACATTTTGATTGAAAGTGTAAAACTCCGGCCACACGGTCTTTGTAACATACGCAGCTCGAATCAAAATAATGTAAGTGAATTAATAAAACTACATGCTGATATTGTTCATTGACCAATTTAAAGAATTTGTAAAAGATCAGTAGTTTAAATCAAACATTATAATTTCTTTCTCGTGTATTTTTTTGTAAAATAATTGCCATTTTCAGATGCTTTAACATTAAATTAAACCTATAACTTTTGGTTCACTACCTATTTTTGGTGCGAAAACGTGGATTAATTTATCAAACAATTAATCTAATACAAACGATTTTGAATAGAAAAACATTTTCTTAATGAAATATGCTCAGAAAATCCACTTTGTCCCTAGAGAGCATAGCATTCTGTCCCTAGAGAGCATAGCGTTCATAGCATTCTGAGATGGGACATCCAGAGCAGTCGCCCGGATGCGAAAATTCATGGCTTCCAGTCCCATCGTAGAGTGTCAGGAGCAAAGTTGATTTTTTAAGCATTGTTAATTCCAACCTTACCAAATGTAATAAAAATAAAAAGATTATAAACAAAATTTAAATAGGTATATAAGTACCTACCATAAATTAATTTATTTTACATACACAACAGACGAGTCGATACGCAATATTCTATATTTTGTTACATATACCAATTACTGAGAAAATTATTCAAAATTTAATGCGAGAGAATTTTACAACACTTTTGTTTGCGTTTCTATAAGAAACTTCTTATGTAAATTCGTAATTACGATAATGAGGTGTTCGGTTACTGATTTGAGGTAACTCGATGGGGAAAAGTTTCAGGCGTCGATACGTGATTAAAGAATAAACAACAGCTCTATTAGTTAAATAGGGATAATGCCTAAGTAGAGGGTAGCTCGGTTGCGAAGTGGATAAGCGCTGCAACCCGCGATCTTCGTTGTTAAGCATCTTTCGCAAAGCTCGATC